CCCACCTTAGCCTCCCAAAGTGCTGGGATTACATTCATGAGCCACCACACCTGGCTGGGAGTTAAGTATTTTGCCATCTTTTATCTTTCAGAAATTGGGTTAGTAACAGTGAAGAGACATTTCTCACCTGCCTTGAAATGCCCTTGATTATCTTCTTCAAGTTGCAAGGGCTCTGGAATAGCCCTTGCAGTGCTCCCGTAAAGGTAAGGATAACATTTTCCTGTAGTTCTTTGCTTTTCTTTTTCTTTTTTGTGCTTATAGGGATTAGCATCCATGTGTGTGAAAATATAAAGGGTACAGATAGGCACCTGTAATTAGTTTTCTGTTGCTACCTGACATCCTTTTGCAGTCCTCCTGGCTCTCAGCCTGGAGACACTCTGACTCCAGAGCCCACCTGCATTCTTTCTCACTTTCCCCATCTTCCAACCAACAGCAGCCCATGGAGTTCTTCTCCAGCTCCCATCGTCTCTCTGACTTTGTCTTCTCCTACCCACTAGAGAAATCTCTGACACTTAGGGAGTGATGTGATTACATCCGGCCCACTCAGGAAAGCTCAGCCTTTGCTATTAGTCTGTTCTTGCAATGTTATAATTAATGACCTGAGACTGGGTGATTTATAAAGGTGAGAGGTTTAAACAGTTTATGGTTCTGTGGGCTGCTCAGGCTTCTGCTTCTAGGGAGGCCTCATGAAACCTACAATCATGGTGGAAGTGGAAGCAGGCACGGTCTTCACATGACCGGCAGGAGAGAGAGAGAGAAACAAAGGGGAAGTGCTACGTACTTTTAAACAACCAGATCTCATGGAAACTCGATCATGCGACGGCACTTGGGGGATGGTGCTAAGCCGTTAGAAACCATCCCCAGGATCCAATAACCCCCTGCCCGACCTCTAATACTCGGGATTATAATTCACCATGAGATTTGAGTGGGGACACAGCACAAAACCATGTCAATCTTTAAAGTCATATGACTGCCATGTAACACCATAATCACAGGAATGTCTCATCAGCTTAACAGGTTCCTGAGATGAGGGTACAGCATGTTTGGAGACCATTTTAGAAATTCCACCTATCAGTTCAACTTCTGGTCCCCAGACATTCACATTCCCCACAGATGGAAAATACATTCACCCTGTCACCTAAGCTTTCCAAGTTTCATGTCATTAATGCGTTAGTTCAAAGTGAAAAATGTCATGTAGCTCTAATCTGATGGAAAGTTTAAAATCTTATTTAAATCATCTACACCAAGTGAAAATGAGGCTTCTGAGGGTGTCCATTAAGTACAGATTCTTATTTGTTGTTTTTGAGAGTGAGTAGTCTTGGTCTGTCACCCATGCTGGAGTGCAGTGGTACGATCTTGGTTTACTGCAACTTCTGCCTCCTGGGTTCAAGTCAGTCTCCTGCCTCAGCCTCTCGAGTAGCTGGGATTATGGGCATGCACCATTGTATTCAGCTATTTTTTTTTTTTTTTTTGTATTTTC